TCCTCGGGACGGGCAGCTTCGGGGCGGTGTGGCTCGCCATGTGGCGCGGCAAGAAGGTGGCTGTTAAAGTGATGCAGCTGCCGGCCGACGCGCTGCTCGACCACTCTGAAACACTCGGCCTGCAGGCCGGCGGCTACGGCCACGCCGGCGCCGGCGCCGCGCGGCGGCGGGGGCGCGGCAAGGCGGGGCGGCAGGGGGCGGCGCCGCACATGGCGATCATGGAGGCGGTCCTGTCGAGCACGATGAGTCATCCGAACGTCGTGCAGGTGGCCGCGGGGGCTTTCGGGGTCTGACTGTTCGGCTTCTTGGTCTTGGAGGGTTTGAATGTCTGAACACCGGTGGATGGGGATGCTTTGGGGCTTCCATACCCTCAGAGGTTGAGGGGTGTTGTGGGTGGCTGTCGCGGCGACCGCGCTGATGAGCGGCGCATGGGGTTTTTGACAGGAACAGCGCTCGAGCACGAGCTGCTGCGTGTTTTGGAGCTGTGGCCAGCGGCCTATGAGCCCTTTTCATGTTCTCCCCTTTTATCACACACACGCACACACCCTCTCTCTAACACACTCACTCACTCTTTCCCACTCACATTCAAACCCTCACACGCGTTCTGACTCACGCCTCTCCACAGGTGTACACTTATTACCTCAACCCCACCCTAGTCAGCGCCGTCGGCGGCATGCAGGGCGGCGACAGCCTCTCATCCCCCCGAGCAGCCGGCGGCGGCGGGGGCAGCGGCGGCGGCGGCGGCGGCGGCGGCGGCGGCGCGGAGGGCGAGGCCGACATCGCGGGTTGGACGCTCAAACTGGTCATGGAGTACTGCAATGAGGTGCGCGGCTGATGGGGAGGGGCCTCCGAGCGCCCAGGGGGGGCAAGGGCCAGCATCCGCGGCTTGCTGTCCGTCCTGGTGGAGGCTGGGGAGGTCCGTGGCCACGGCCCGCGGCGTCAGGCCCAGGCGCGGCCCGGTCGCCTCGGCGCCCGCAGTCCTTCCCCTCCGCCCCCGCCCACGCGACTCACGGCTTGCACCCCCTTCCGAGCGCCCCCCCCCCACCAACACCGTCACCCTCACCCTCACCCTCACCCTCACCGTCACCCTCACCCTCACCCTTTCCTCAACCCTAACCCTCGAAACCAAACACCCGCCGCAGGGCTCCCTGCGTGACGCGCTGGACTGCGGGCTGCTGTGCACCCCGGGCTCGTTCCTGTCGCCGTCGTCGGTGCTGGCGCTGTCACACGACGTGGCGTCCGCCATGCTGCACCTGCACAGCGAGGGCATCGTGCACGGTGGGGGCTCGGCGCGCGTGTGTTCGTGTGTGTGTGTGTGTGTGTGTGTGTGTGTGTGTGTGTGTGTGTGCGCGCGCGCTTGCATGCGTGTGGTGGGCGTGAGCGCATGGGCAAGTGCATGTGTATGTGCGCGCGCGTGTGTGCGTGTGTGTGTGTGTGTGTGTGTGTGTGTGTGCGTGTGTGCGCGCGTGTGTGTGAGCGCACACGTGCGTGTGTGCATTCGTGCCCCTTGCGCAGCGCTGCTTGCCCTGGTGCTGCGAGTGCTGGGCACGTGGAATGCTGCTGTTTCCATCCGCCATAATTCGCGCCAGCTGGGGCTTGCAGGAGGGGTCTGGGGCCGGGTTGTCCACACACACGCACACACGCATCTGTGGGCGCGCGCGTGCACGCATACACACACTCAAACACACACACACTCTCTCTCTCTCTCGGGCCACTCACGCACACAATTCGTGCACACCCACCCACCCAACCCCTCAGACGCACGCTCATACGCTTACACTTACACACACGCATACACACACACACACACCATCAAACCGCCACCCCACCTGTCTGCAGGCGACCTGAAGGCCCACAACGTCCTCCTCACAGGCAGCAGCGACCCCACCAGCGGCATGACCAACGGCCGCGTGTGGGCCGCCTCGGGCAGCCGCCGCCTGACCGCGAAAGTCGGGGACTTTGGGCTGGCGCTGCCGCTGCAGCCGAGCGACACGCACGCGACGCTCGCCGCGCGGGTGCGCGCGCCGGCGGCAGGGGGATGCAGGCGGCGTGCCGCGGGCTGGGCGCTGCTGCCAAGTGTTGCTTGCGTCGTTCGCCCCGCTCGTGCCGGCATAGCCTCTCATCATGCTCGCCCCTCTGTCTGCCGACAAATTTCCTTGCGGCATGAGCCCGCAGCCTCCGCCTCAATCCTTTAACGTCGTAATCACATCAACAGTCCCCATCCGTCGCACCCGTCAACCCCGCTCCAGCCCCCGCCAACGACCGTCACACGCCCTCCACCTCACTCCAACCCTCTCTTCCCAAAACACGACCGTCACCCACCCACCATCACCTCAGCGCCCCCTCATGTAC